TTAATAGATTCTTACCTATCATCAACAGCCTATAAATGCCCACTGCTGGGCAAAGCCTCTTCTCGCACGGAGAAGGTTTGAGCATTAATCACCACGCTTGCTCAATGCGGGTTGGCGATTTCAAACTTATAATTAGAAATTATAAGTCCAGGTTTCCTCACGATGTTTTTCCTTCACCGTTTGTCAGTGGTGTCTAAATAATATTAGAAAGTACATATAACTCGGAAAAAGTCACATTGGTACTTGCCGTTGGTAGGTTTCGAACCCGCACCCTCGTGCATGAGAAGCGGGCGTCTTAAACCTCCGGGCCACCACGACATCGACCTAACCTAGCTTGGTGATTTGTTGACCTGGGAGAATTGGATACAAGGGTCGAGAATAGTATCAATGAGTTTGCTTATGTAGGGTAGGTACCTACAAATTTGAAATTAACAACTGACTTTACAACGGTGAACTATCGAATTAAAAACTTTTCCAGCGTTTTCATCAAAACCTTATTTTTTATACTTAAGAGGATGGCGTTTGGCCACCATCTCAACTGATGGTAGGCGATGATATGGCCAACGACGATGGAGCACGCCTACCTAAGAGCAACCTGTCCACTCGGGACTAGAAGACACTCAAGTTGTATTTTTTAGGAAACTCAGATTCCGGTACGGAATTTCATTCCTCAGCTGTTCGCCAAACATGTTATGATTAACCATGTTTACTGTTTAGCAATTCAGTTAGTTCCAAAATACCTATTGAAAAACAACTTTACATCACGCAGCCTAAATTACTATGTACGGCAGATGTAAGTGCACCTTCGGAATAATGACAGTTTATATAAAATTGTATATCATGAAGTAAATAGGCAACCGTGCCACACTGGCTTTCTAGACGCCATATTGCAATTATCTCAGACACCATAACGTACAATCACTGAGTTGCGCACGCGACGCTTATGAGACGCTTTGCTTAACCTAACTGTAAGCATTAGATGGGTGATGTAAATTGTAGTGTTTGTGTAATTATCTCGAAGTAAGTTGTACACATATCACCATGCTTATTGCTCCAAGAAATAGGCAGGTTAAATTGAAGATAGGTAAGTACAGCGCAGTTAGATTTATTCTATCGGAGGGGATTCTATGTTTGGCCTTTCGCCAATCATTTGGATGTAACTAGACTAGATCCTGTATCAAAGATTAAAGAATTCAGAATAATTTTACCCTTGCTCAAAAATGGACACAAATTGCTCAGTGCTGGACTTTCCTTTTGATTCCCGATATGTTGAAACTTCCGAATTAAGTAAAAACTCTCAAGTTGTTCTTCATTGAGCTCTCAAATTCGGAATTCTCCACCCAAAATTTTATAGATACCGGCTTATCGTCTTGCATATGAATATCTTATAGCTTTGAACCTTGATATTTTTAATTTATAAGTACCTATGTCTCTAATATTCTATTATACCTACCTTGGTTTACCCTCATCATCATCAGCCTGTTTTCGTCCACTGCTGGACATAAGCCTCTCCAATGGCACGCCACTGAGCTCGGTCTTCAGCTCTACGCATCCAACCACTACCAGCCACTTTACGTATATCGTCACTCCACCTAGCTGGAGGGCGCCTACCCCAGCGGTCATCGGTTCTTCGACAAATGTGACCGGCCCACTGCCATTTCAGCTTGCTAATCCTTTGGGCTACATCGGTAACTTTAGTTTACCCTCGCTTTATACTTATTATATTTTATTTTATAGTTATGTTATGCGTGTTCTGCGCAAGAATAAATGGTTTTTCATTCTTTCTTTCTTTCTTATATGAGACACAATAGAAAACACTTTGTGTCTCGCGTAGACTTGCATTCCGATATAAGTACCACAGAATTCAAGGATTCGTTCCAAAAAGTAAAAAAAAAACTTCGGCACTTCAACAGCGGTCAAGATCAGTCTACTACACCATACAGCATATTGCATCATTACGTCACATAACCGATTACACACATTTTATTCAAAGTCATGTACCATACACTCGTACCAGTGCACAAAGGCAAGCATACAATAGCCTTAGACATATTATACTTATCTACTACACTTTACGTAAGTTTGTATTATTGTATTAGATAGGCGGCAAATGACTTGATGAAATCAATTAGACATTGTTTTTATTGTAATTGGTAATGATATAGAGTTATTGGGTATTTATAAAAAATGCGTATTACACACATTGTACAGTGGCATCAAGTGCCGTAATGTGTACCTCTGCCTACCCCGTCGGGGGTAAAAGGAGTGATATTATGTTTAATGAACACACAACATACCTATATCAAACTCAGACAAAACAAGCCAATAACAACACTCAGCCCGTAAAAATAAAGTTAAAATCAAATTGCATCACTTTGTATTACCAAGTCAATGTACCCGAACTGGGAACAAAAACAAAGCTAGACAAGGTGAAGGTTACAACTTCATATACAGGATGTTACAACTCCTTATACAAAGGATGTTACAATAACGTCCGGTAGCCTTAGCCTACGCTAATCGGCTAATTTGTGCACATTTGTTATAAGGGCTCCATATAAGGATTTACGGTCGAACTCACGAGTTGATTTGCGATCATAATTTTTATATGCGTGTACGCATGTTTGTGATTATGATTTGCGTGTTTTAAGTGTTCTGTTAAAAACAAAGTAAAAGATTATTACGCCTTTTGAGTTGATGTGTAACTAAATATAATATTATCTGTTTTATGAATTGTGAATTGGTAATAACATAACATAATATAACATCACGCCTTTTTACCCCTGAAGGAGTAGGCAGAGGTGAACATTTCGGCACTTAATGCCACTGTACAATATAACACCCACTTTTCATTATTTATGTTATGAGTCCCATGTAATAAGGGGTGAGCCTATTGCCATATATCGGGCACATTTCCAGACTCCGTGCTACCACTGAGATTTTTAAAAATCCAGTCATACTTTGCCCGTCCCGAGAATCGAACCCGAGACCCCTTGCCCGGCAGTTGCACTTGTGACCACTCGGCCAACGAGGCAGTGAATTGGTAACGAAGTATTGTATTTACTATAATGCAATTAACTGATTATTCATGAATGAACGTCTAAAAAACAAATAATAATTTAATCTCAGAAATAGAACTTAGAGGTCACTTACTTAGTCACATTTTAACCAATCAATTCACGAACTCTGTGACTAAGTAAAAATTGGTCTTATGACTCGAACCTGGACACACTAACCTACAAACTGTTATAGCAAACTCAAACAACAAGATGCAGTTGAAGTAAAGATATGTGAAACTAACCATGATATTTAGCTTTACAAATATAACAATACTAGATCTCAGAAATAGACAATACGAGCTCAGTGCAAGAAATCTTAATGAACCGTGAAGGAATTTTAATTAGTCAGTGTATGAACTGAATGAAAAACGTTCCAGTATAGATGTATGAGCTAATCTTGTTGCTTCTGGGAATTTAGTTCGTACTGTATATTATAAAGTTTAGTATAGCTAGAAGGTTTTATTGATATTAATGAGGTGTGAGTTCTGTGGTGCCTCGTTTCTGTTTGACTGCCTCGTTGGCCGAGTGGTCGTAAGTGCTACTGCCGGGTAAGGGGTCTCGGGTTCGATTCCCGGGTCGGACAAAGTATTACTAGGTTTTTAAACATTCTCAGTAGTAGCACGGAGTCTGGAATTGTGCCCGGTATACGGCAATAGGCTCACCCCCTATTACATGGGACTCATAATATAAATAGTGAAAAGTGGGTGTTACATTGTACAGTGGTATAATGTGCACCTCTGCTTAACCCTTCGGGGATAAAAGGCGTGATGTTATGTTATGAGTTCTTTGGTTAAAGACTAATTTTTATTTAGACAAATTGAGAATTTTAATAACATTGTTTGTGGTTGCAACTATTGAGAGCATTAAATTGTAACACAGCATTCATAAAATCAACTTTAACTTATTTTATCCCGAAAGGGCAAGATAGGAAAAGCGTGCCGCGGAAAACTTAACGGGTTACCTACCGAGGCTCCGGCTCCAAGTGCAGGAGTAGGAACGGGGTGGTTTTTAGTCAGTAAGAGGCCACCACCACCATCCTGCCTCAGCCAGGCGAGAGAAGTCAAACTTAAAAAAAAAGCTAGAAAAAGCGTGTGGCACCCATTTTTCATCTCTTTCTGAAAACCCTTGCGAAATAAAAATCCCAATTTTAATTTACCCGATCCTGTGAGATCTTATGATATCTTGTAATCCTAGAGTTGCAATTATGACTGACGATTCAATCCTATGGAACCTATTAAATAAATAGCATTGGCCATTTATCTTCGAAGATCGAAACGATCGAAGAAATCCGAAAACTACACAGCATTAGACAAACACATTATTTGACACGAGATTCAAATAAAATCAATATCTGACCAACTAACAAGATTAGGAATTGATATTATTATACCAGATATCTTCCTTTCTCTGTTATCTCTCACGTTAAATCTTATCAGTCCTATCAAAGATGTAAGATGCGACTGATAACGAATGTTTTCAGAAATACTTATAGATAAGTTTTCTTAACTGTATGGGAAAATTGGAGAGAATTATTTCATCATATCATACATTCACTTGGAAATTGGGTGTGGCCTGCATATTTGGGATTGTGAAATGGATAAGAGAGATAAATGAAACACTTACTTTTCACCTGAAATCATAATCCCTCGAAATAGGAGCAAGTCTATTGCCATCCTCATTTAAGCTTGTTTTTTTTTAATTTTTGTCAAATAAAACGTTGCCCCACACTAGGATTTTCTCCTGTGTTGTTGGTGCGTTTTACAAACATACAAGTTCACATACACTCATGACATCCAGACCCGATACAACATTTTGTGGATCACACAAAGTGTTGTCCCGTGCGGGAATCGAACCCGCGACACGTTGCACGGCTGCCGGTTGCCCGGCCACCGCACCAACCGTGCGGTCAAAGTGCAGTTAACGGCCGATCTCAATATCCTACTAAAAGTTAAACTCAGGTAGCTACCAGAGTTTTACTGTTACTTCTGATCTGTCAGTAACTGCCGTCTCAATAACATAATGTCCGCAACGATATCCACAGTTAAAGACAGATAGGTCCTTTCCCTCACAAAAAATGCGTTACGTTTCGTTTCTTGTAAAAAATATTATTTTTGCTTATATGATATAAGCTTCAGTAAATTTGTACTTTTAAAAAACCTGCTTTTTTTATTTATACGAAAATGGTGGACTTTTAAAATAAAATAATGATGAAATGCTTTCTAACATGATGCAATAAAACGCATTTTTGACATTTGCCAGCAAATGACGCGACGCTATCGCGCTGTCAAATTCCCGCGCTCGCTCGCAACTGTTTTGTGTTTCGAATATCGACTTGTGATTTGTTTGGAAATCTAATTTGTATTTATAAATTACCTAGTGTGTAATTTTCTTATAAAATGGCTGAGCAACAAAATGTAAGTATTGACTGCGTACCCATTGATTATATTTTGTTTAAAACCTTATAAATACCTGGAACATAAACAAAAGGGTCGTGCCACCTATTCGCGCCTTAATTTATTATAATTTACTTTCAGATTAAAGCTAAACCGCTTGTAAAGGACAGCATAATTCTTCTTCTGGACATGATAATGAAATATCCAGTTATAACTACCAAAGCGACGAACGCAACCAATAACAAATTAAAAGAGGAAGCATGGAAGTCTATTGCACAGGAGTTCAGTGCTGTTACGGGAGATTTGCGGCGTCCTGAGCAAATTCGACTCAAGTGGGAGAATTTAAAGAAGTCTGCTAGGAAGCGTAGTGCTTTCATTAGACAAAACAACCTTAAGGTCAGTATTTAAGAAATTATATTAATAAGGATTAATATAGTCATTCATTTTATTTTGGTTGCTCTAAACTTTGTTTTTAATTTACTGACTGGAGGAGGGAAGTCTTTCATACCTCCTGATGATGTTTTGGACAGAGTAGCATCAATTTTAGGTTCTACTTGCAATGGCTTACCTGCGGAGTTTGGTGGTGATGCGGATGAAGCTATTGCTAGCAAAGCCGCTGAAGCAATTGTAGAAGTTTTTGACTTCCAGCCATTGCCAGAAATAGTTCAGGGCAGTAGCGTTGTTGTGTTGGGTGGTGACTGTGGTGGTAATGGTGGTGGTGGTGATTGTGGTGGTAATGGTGGTGGTAATGGTGGTACTTACACACCAAATAACTATATTTTTAACACTCCAAAAAGTGCCAGTAAGTTACATATATCTATAACTTGTCGCTAAAATAATTTACATAGTTCAGTGATATGGGTTACCGTTTTGAGACAAATTGTTTACAGTGCTAGTAAAAGGTTGCAAGGTGTAAAAATATATTAAGGATTCATTAGTGTAAACAGTAGGTGAAGGAATTTTGTGTAAATACCATTTAAATCAAATAAAACTTTTTTTTACAGTGAATAAACGGAGAAAGCTCTCTGAAGAAGTACAGAGAGCTCAGCGAGACAAAGATCTGGGGTTGGCAGCTTATTTTCAAGCCAAGGCACAAAAAGTAATATTAGAAAATAAAAAAATAGAATTAGAGAATATTAAACTAGAATTAGAAATAAAATTAATGAAACAGAAAATTAACTGTAATGATTAGTTTAAGTTCCCAATATTTATAAGTTAGTCTTTACATGTTTTGATTAGTTATTAAGTTTTGTCATATTTTGTATAGTTAAGAGATTGTGTTTGTTTAATTAAAAATATTGTGTCAGTATATTCTCTTTTTCTTTATTATATTTTATCAAAAAGATAATAATGGTAAGGACATAAAAATTAAACATTTGAATATTATTTAAATATAATCATAGTTCTTGATATTTTTTACAATATTCTTTTGTCGAATTTAGCCCCAAATATTCTGTGTTGATCTGAAAAAAAATAATATACCCTTGATCATTTTCATATTAATTTTCTAAAAACATAAGACACATCAAATTGTATGATTAGGTACACACCAACTAAAATAATTATCTATTAGACGTTGTCTAACATGATGTTGGTGGCCTACTCCCTCAACTAGGATATTATCAGCTTGCTCAAGCGGTATCTCAACTTCAGGTTCCACCTCACTTATATTATTCAACCTGCAAATGTTGTGTAACACAGATGTGGCAATAATAACAGCTTGTGTTGTTTGTAATGCGAGACGCATTTTTAACGAAAGCACTGGAAAGCGTCTTTTCCATACTCCAAAGCACCTGAAAAGTGAAAAAAATATAAAATGACTAACAATATTTTAGTTACACAACTATATCTATAATTTATATATTCATATGAAATCAAATAGGCAAGTGATCAATGATAATAGGTATCAACCTTTCTATGGTGTTCCTGGTCTTGATATGTGATTCATTGTACCGAATTTCTGCAAGAGATACCGGGTTGAGCAATGGCGTTAATAGGTATGAACTACAGGGATATGCACTGTCACCAATGAGCCATCTATTTTCAATTATCCCATCTTCACATTGCACTGAAAATAATTATAAGAATGTTATTTTATGTAGGTGATGGTATGCATGAAAAGTTTAATAAATACTTAATAGAAAATATTATGCTTATACTCACTTTTAATAATGGAATTGTTAAATATAGTAGCATCATGAGCAGACCCTGGCCACCGAGCAACTACATTCATAAATAGCAAGTCTGCATTACAGACTCCTTGAACATTTATTGAGAATATTCCTTTCCTATTCCTGTACTCTTCTCCTATATTAGAACCTAAAAATAAAAATATCTTATTTATTCATTTAGATCTGAGTAAGTGCAAGCTTTGTAAAAGGAATAAAAGCATGACTCAAGCATTTTAACAGTAAAAATGTCAACTCACTGGGTGATTGTATGGGTATATGTGTACAGTCAATTGCTCCAAGTACTTTGGGGAATCCTGCAATGGCATGGAAGGCATGCTGTGTGTTTTCCAAAACTTTAACATATTCAGGATACAGTCCAGCTATTGCACGAGATACATCAGACACAATTCTGCTAGCTGTTGCTTTAGAAACTCCAACGAAGTCGGCAACAGATACAAGCATTGTGCCAATGCATAAAATCTAAGAGTGAGCAACAACTGGTGTTGTGGAGATACACCATAGTTCCTGAAATTAAATGTTTAATTAGTTATAAGTAGGTCATAAATTAAAAAAAATATCAAATGTTTAGTTAACAGCTAAATTCATTGGTCCATTACTTTTGTTAATTTTACTTGATAACTTTAGATGAAGCACTAGAAATAATTTACTCACCGGGAGGATTTCACTCTCAAATTTGGTAAAATTTTTACTAATAACTCATTAACACTACTTTTATTTAATCTAAATCTGAATGTAAATTCCGAGTCAGACAATTCACTTTCATAGTTAATGCGACTGTACACTCTGCATTCACCAGATACTGTAGCTGTCGCAGAATCAAATACACCGGCTTCATACATCTCATTATCACTTTCATCACTAAACAAATCCATTTTATTATGAAATAAGTTGTAATTACTATGAAAACCAGCAGTAAATCGCCCGATTTCGGGAGATAGCTAATTTTCAACTGACAGTTACGAAAACAATCTAAAGTTAACTGTCAAAATGTTATTGAGACGCTCTCCATTTTTTTTCTATGGATTTACATATCTATGGTAAGCGGTAAGCCCTCCTAATGGTAGATCAAAGTAAAGATAGATATTCCTATCTATCTTTAGTTTATTGAAACGCAAAAATGCGTTTGTAGCTACTAAAGATCGGTAATGTAACAGATAGTTAAAGGTAAGTATGTTATTGAGATCGGCCGTAAGTGTTCCCTGCCAAGCAAACCTCTCTTCTAACCCGGAGAAGAAATGAACATAATCATGTCATCACTCTTGGTCAAAGCGAATTTAACACAATATAATATGTATAGTTTTAAGTCACTGTTAAAATCCAAACACACTGCTAGTTCCAGAAATCAAACCACTTAGCTCATCATTTTCACTTGCGACTTCCTATCGTACTTACGTTGACCACCACAGATAGGACTCGGCTCTTGCCCGATTGCCCGATACGGAGCCGCGGAAAGTCTAACGGGTTGCCGGGGCTCTGGCTCGAAGAGCAGTAATAGCAACGGGGTGATTTTTATTTCAGTAAGAGTCTGACACTCCCTCTCGCCTAACCCAAGGAGGGAGAAGTCATTGGATGATTTTCCTTCCTCAAAAAAGGCGTAGGTACTTACGTATTTCACATACATACTAAAACCATAATTTTTAACTTCACCGCGGTTGTGTAAAGTGATATGTCGACTAATGAAGCTAAAGTTAACCTATTCAGCCACTAGTTACTTGCAACAGCTAATCATCAACTGTTAGATAACTATACAGCTATAACAGTACAGAGATAATTGTCCACACAATGTACTTGTAACTTCAATGTACTTGTGCGCATTCACAGTGAACCGTCGCTAATGACTTGCTAACGGTGTTTCCAAATCACAAAGATCATGCAGTCAACTGTGAAATATGACGATTATGATGAAGAAATGAGTTTGTTCTTATCCAAATTGAAGTTTTGATTGTTTTGTTAGCAGTAGTTTTATCATCATCATCAATATATCAGCCACAGGATGTCCACTGCTGAACATAGGCCTCCCCCAATAACTTCCAAATAGGCCGGTTGGAAGCGACCTGCATATATCGACAGCGATAGGCTGTAGTTTGCAAACCTTATTTTACAAGAAAGAACTATCTTTATGAGAACAGTATAAAATTGTTTATTCCTCGAAAGAGATATATAGAAGTTTATGCACTTATTTCAATCTGCTCCTGTTTTCGTCAGTTATGTAACCCTCTGTGTACTTCTCCCTTATTACATGGGAGCCGTTGGATCCAAGTGCATAGCTCAATGAAGTGGGTGAAGTTCAAGTTTCTGCTATTTGCAAATTACACTACCATATCACCCGACGTTGATGACAAATGGTAATTAATGGTTAACGCTGCTCAATTTTAAGGTGCTTTGAATAATGCTCCTGTCACTCCAATTTCTTTGTAAAATGATAGAGATAGCATAATGTTTGGTTACAACTTAAAACTGAGTACTATTTCAGTATTTAAAGCAGTTTTGTGTATTAAGATTCCACGTTGCTACGAAACTCACAATTACACTATGTTCTTCCAAAGAATCCTAATTATAGGCAGTTAGTTCATTTAGTTTATTTCAGCATACCTAAGTTAATGTAACCTTGAAGTATAGACAGGAGTGTATAGAAGTGAATGCACATCAAGAACATTACGTGGGAATGTTTGTTTGTTCGTAAAATGCCGCTAAACGTCGATTTAGCATTAAGATTGTGGTACCAGTGGCGTGGGAGAGTGTTGTATGATTCGGATTGTTGGTATACGTGTTCTTATCATTTGTTTTGTACGTGTGTATCTTATTGTATCTCTGTTTTTGTTGACATCTTCACTGCATTGGAACAAGGAGCATGATTTAAAACTGAAGTTGCCTTTAAAACACTTTTAGAATACCTAGGCTTTTGCCAGTTTTTCAAATTATTAAGATAGACTTTCAATAAAAGAGCGACTCCTTTTTCTAAAAAGGAGTCAACGGCAAGTCACGGCAACGCGACGTCGTCCACGTAGAATGTGAATCTTAGGACATAATTTACTTTTAATTTCAATTTTTCAAAATAAAAGTATCTCATGTTACTCTTTAGTACATCAGCTAACTGCTAATAAAAATCTCGTCCAAATCGGTCCAGCCACTCCAAATGTTAGCCAGTACAAACAGACAGACAAAAAATTGTAAGAAATGTTATTTTAGCATGTGTATCGTATTCATACGCATGTAGTAAAAAGCGGTTATTTTAATATTAAAAACAGACACTCTGTATAAATGAATCTGCTTTGGTGTTGCGCCCATCATTATCTGTAACTATAACTGTAGTAACTGACTAGTTACCATGCCTGCCTGTTGCAGCTTGAGGGATCGTAGTTAGAGCACCAGAGAAGGTTTTGCTGTCTTTTTTAATTATTGTTTACTTTAAGGATCTCATTCACCAGTGCACCAAAAATGTATTTATCTTTAATTCTAAACGCCCACAACACTTTCAAAACAATTACATACTATTAACAAAATAAAGTAATGATGAATTGAAACTCCTTCACACATTCCGTTTAAGGAGTAAAGTTCACACGTAGGTGCACATTTCAAAGGATGGAACCAACGTGGGCTTATTGTAGTTACTTACACAACTTTAGCTGATTAGTACCCATTAACTTGTCTAAGTAATCCATGATTTAAATGCCAAACTGTTTAAGCTTGACCTTGATTTGTTTTTAGTGTAATTAGTGGCTGAAAATTCGGCTGGTGATCATGTAATCTTGAGTTCGGTAAACGCGATTGGACAGATGACGCAGCGATTTTATTTTATTCATTTATTTACTAGATTTTACCCGCGGCTTCGCTCGCGTCATAAATGGATAAAAGTAACCTATGTGACATATATCAATATACACAGCACCATTTATACCAATACTTTTGTTTTCCCTCGGGAATATCAATTTTTCCGGGATAAAAAGTACCCTATTATTTAATAAGGACTTCTAACTTTACGTTTACAAAAATTCAGAGCAATCGGTTTAGTAGTTACTGCGTGAAAGCGGAACAAACAAACAAACTCACTTTCCGATTTATAATATTAGTAAGGATTTAAGCTTCATGCACAAAATGTACTTAAGGTGGACTTAATGCCGCAGGCATTTTCTCCCA